GCCCCAGCCCCAGCCCCAGCCCCAGCCCCAGCCCCAGCCCCAGGACTGCATGCATGGATCTGCCCCTAGGAACAATGAACCCTTGCTCCCCCGCAACTATGACACCCCCACGAAGGCAGCCAGTGCCCCACTCCCACGGGACAGAGGGAAAGCTCTGTGTGCTGTTCCCCACCCTGCAAGACACCTGAGTCCCAAGGACAAGCCACACAGCCTGGCTGGGGAAGGGGCTATCGGCCATCTGGACCCAAAGGGCAATGGGATTGGGAAGGCCTAGGCGGCGGGGCCCATTCCCTCCTTGAGCTGGGAGCTCCTTTCTCTCCCTGGGGCGATGCCACCTCCCCAAGGCTGCGGACCCATCCTTCAGGAGCTAGGAGACCAGGGGAGAGAAACAGAGGCAGGCTGGGCTGTGCCCTTGCAGACGGACAGGTGTCAATCGTAGCAGCACACGTGGTTTCTGAAGGCGGGTGCTGGAGGCTGAGCAATGACCAGCGCGGTGCTTCCCAAATCCTGCTTGGGGTGACAGCCAAATGCACCGGGGTTAGGGCAGGTCCGAGGATGAAGGGGAAGGTTCACAGCAGGTGAGACCGGCTGGATCCAAGCCCAAGCTGGCAGACTGAGCTGGGCACGTGGCTGTGAGCTCTCTGCTAGCTCGATAAAGGAGCCAGCTGTGGCTCCCGACATGGCCAGGCCCTACCACCCTACACCTGGTGACAGGATCTTCCTAGAGCTTCCAGGTAAAGAAGAAAGAGCCCCGCTGGTTGCAAAATAAAACCTGGGAGAAGGGTCCCTGAGCTGCATATGGAGCCCCTGTCTTATTTCTTCCCTATGAGCCAGGGGGCCTGGCACCTTTGGGGTGATGCTGGCTTCCCCTGCACATCAGGCAGGGGCCAGCAGCCGTGGTGCTCCCTGCTCTCCCAGCAGCACGGCACGCTCGCGGTGAAGACAGTCCAGTGCAGAGCGCAGCGCTTGCTGCCTTGTACTCCAGCGAGGCGGCTGCTTGGAAGGGAGGAGAGCTCCAGGGTACACGGCGCTCCATGCACCCAGGGCACGGGCAAGGCCGGACTTCACACACGCCCTGAGCATGCAGCCGTCTGGGGTTGGGGTACAGCCAAGCGGGGCCGGCCAGGAACAAGGTGATCTCAGCCTGTGACTCAGGCCCCTTGGACTCGCGGGAATGGCACCAGGCAGGAATGCAGCCTGGCAGCTTTCCCCAGCCCCCGCCGCGCTGCCCCATCCCTAAGTGCTCTCAGCCCCACCGCTCTGGAGGGCATCAGCAAAGGGTGGGAGCCTGGCTCCGTGCCACCCGGCTCATGGTTATGAGAGAGGAGGCAGCTGGGGACACAGCTGTCTCTTCCCCATCCGGTGGATGGAGCCCCAAATACCGCAGACTGGCACATGGCTGCTATTGCCATGGCTTTGCCCACCCTAGTGAGGAAGGGGGTCCTGGCTGAAACCCCTAGGCTTGACCACACCATCATGCCCCCGCCCCAGCGTGGCACAGTCAGGGGGCGGCTAAGCCCACATCGCCTCGGCATACTTAAATCAGTGCCGTGCTCAGTGCGGACACAAGTCTGGTTTCAGAGGAACTGGCTTCAGCTCCATTTCAACCTGCTCTGTTGAGCTTGAACTGCCTGGACCTAACCCAGCTCCCAGGGCACCTCTACCCTGCTGGGTGCGGCCCGTGTGAGCTGTAGGCAGGCTGGTACAACACCAGGAGTGGAGATGCAAGGGCATGTGTGTCCCGGTGCCATGCTGTGCCAGCCTACAGCAAAACCACGTGACTGCCACCTTTGCTGCCACTTGCTCTGGCTGGGTTGTTCACCATTGCACATCATTCAGCAGGGGAGACAGACCTTGTGGGTCTGCACAGGACCATGCTCCAGCTGCTAAACCACTTTAAAATCACACCTGTGGATCAACTAGCACAGAGGTGTCGGAGGTACGGTCCATGGGCTGGTCCCGGGTCTTGACTTGACCCACATATGCAGCATGTGCTATGCCAGCTTGGTGGGCAGGAGCCAGGGCACATGCTGCACATGGTCCCCCTTCCAGTATGCACGATGCACACAGTACTCGTGCAAGGCCAGTCAGGGATCCCCACCTTGCATGCTGAATCCAATACCCGGGGCACCCACTCCACCTGGTCACATGCAGTGCAGTCCTGGACTGGCCAGAGTGGGTGCTGGGTTTGGCATGCCGAGGGGTCTGTGGGCCTCATCCAGCCCATGACCCAGCCTTATGCCACTCATCTGCACCAGATGAGTTCAACACCCCTAAACTAGCACAGCGCTCCTCACCGAAATCTCCAGGCTCTGCTGCGTGCAGCTGCTGGTTTGGGATAAGGAGGGTCCTGCTCTGACTGAGCCTTAGGTTCTGCTTCTAGCTTAAACCCATTAAAAAGAAACCATAGGTAACAAATTCCCAAAGTGATTTAGGAGCCTAAATCCCACTGCAAGTCTAGAAAAGCCCTGCCTCAAAATCACAGGTAATGTTACCCTGGGCGAGGTCAGCGCCCATGGGCAGATTTGCTCCCAGATAGCTACAGGGTTGAATTAACCCAGTGTGCACTTCAAGCACAACCAGCTGCTGCCTGTTCACTGCAAGCATGAAAACCCCCAGCCGGGTGGGACCCTCTCCGACACCAGCACGCACAGTCCTGGTCAGATGCCTGCTGTTCTTTCCCCCTCTCCTCAGCCATGACCGTCTGTCTGCTCTGCCCTGGCATGGCTCAGGGACACGTCCAAACTGACCTTGCTGGCTCCTGGGGGGCTGGGGGCTCGGACAAAGCTGTGCGTAGGGGTCTGGTTGGGAAGACTCAGCCACTGCAGCAATTAAACCCCCATGCAAAGTAGCATTTGGTGCCGACTGTCAAACCACAGCTATCTTTCATCCCAGAGGCTGTTGCGTTTTGCCGGTAGGTTAATGACCCCTGTGCTGCCTCGCGGTGTAATAACTGAACTGCATTTCAGTGGCAGATAAAATGCCGCCTGCAAATACCGGGCTGAATTCTGCTCTCTTGCAACCCCATGGAGCTCAGTTTGGGTGGGAAAAGGCAATGGATGATAGCTAAACAGTCCCTTTTCCCACCCAAGGGACCCAAGGGACTGTCTAGCTATTATCCAATGCCTTTTCCCACCCAAACTGAGCTCCATGGGGTTGCGAGAGAGCAGAATTCAGCCCAACACAGGACACAGGCAGGGCTGGACCTGCTCTCCAGGGCAGGCCCGATAGGGAAGGTGAGTGGATTTCTGCCCAGACACACCCTGGGTTCAAAGTTTCCCAGCTGGCTGCTTGGGAACGTGGGGTGCCTCCCCGCCGCGCCTTCACTAAACACACCGGTGAGAAGGGAGCTGGAACAATCCCAACCTCGTGGCTCCCCCAGTCCCTCCCAGTTTGGGGGGCTCCAGCTTTCCCAGCAAGCACACCCCTTCCCAAGGGTGCGTCTGAAGTATTCGCTGAGCCTCCCCAAGCGGGCAACAAGCAGCTGGCAGCCCATTCACCTGGCCCTACATCTGAGCTTCGCCATTCGGAGCCAGGGATTTCAAGCCCCCAGGTCCCTGCGTCCCCCCTCCCCAGTGCTAGCGCCCCTGGTACCAGCTCACGAGCTCCTGCCTGGTACCAGCTCCTGCAGAAACCAGCTGACCAGACTCAAAGGCACATGTGAGAGGCAAGTCCCAGGAGAGACGGTCCTACCTGGAGGGCTCCTGGCAGCGAGACCCCCGGGATTGCCGGCCAAGACCTAGCCCGTCTCGCTGGGTGCCTGTAGGCAGCGGCTCCTCCCTCAGCCACTCCTCTCCCTGCTCTGGGGCGCTCCTTATGTACAGTCGCTGTACAAATGCTTTCCATCCCACCTCCCGCTTTGCTCATTAGTTGCCTCTAAGCCGGCCTCCCTGTCTGACAGGGCGGCCGTGGGAAAGGCTGATGCACCCCATGGGCAGCAGAGACCCAGACCGGCGGGGAAGGCGCGGCGTGCTCTGGCTTTGGGCAACAGGGCCCTGCATCCCCCCATCTCCGTGTGTCCTTCTGCCCCCTCGCTGGGCATGCAGGGCTGCCCCTCCACCCCTGACAGTGGCTGGGAATAAGGAAGCCTTCTGAGATGCCAGGCAGGAAGAGGGGGGCTTTTGGCCCAGGGTGGAGAGGGAGAAGGGTATGGGAGCCAAGACTGCAACTGAATTAGATTTGAGAGGGGAAGGGGCTGGATTCTGCTCTTGCTGAGGCGATTGCAAGAGCAATGCAACACCAAGGAGGGCCACAGAGCCCCTGGCCCCCCAAATTGTCCAGCTCCAGCCCCCCCAATCGGGTGCAGGAACTACTCGCACCAACATAGGGCTCCCCAAAGCATGGGAGTTAAGGGAGCAGCCCCCTCCTGCCAGGTGCAGCCCACCCCCATACCCCAGCCATGGATGCTGAGGACAGCTATGGAGGCTGCCAGGCTTCCTTGTAAGAGCAGAGATGGAAACGGAGATGCTCAAACTCCACGTCTCTGCCACTGAGTCACCGTGCAGCCTTGGGTGAGTCCCTGCTATGCCCTGTGCCTCAGTTTCCTGCTCTATGACAGCCAGATCGTTTCTAGTTACTCACTTTGGCACTCGCGCCCCCCCGAGAAACCACAGTGGCCCAAAAGCAGGGTCAGGGGCTGTGGCCTGACCTCAGGAGATATGCCCAGTGTAGGCCAGAGGCCATGACTACACTCCCACCCCAGATGCCCCACACATCAATCTGTTGCTGCACCC